CAGGATGGCACGTGGCAGAGCCGCTGAGGACCCAGGCCTCAAGGGCAGGGCATCCCTTCCTCCCACCAAGTGATCGCCATCGCCTAGTATCGGGACAGGATGGTAATGCAATGACCAATCAACAGTCCTTTGTTCTCTCTGGCGGGGGCTAGCATGGAACAGCATACCTGCCCCCACCTGAGGAACAGAGAGCTCAGCAGACACAAGTAGAAGAGGTACCCGGAGCCCAGCCCCCCAGCCAGCCCCGCAGGATGGCAGCAAGAATCGGCCATCCTGGCACTTCCCTCCTTGTTGTGCTTTGCTGTTTGTTTTCCTCTCGTTTCCTAGTAAAGGTTTCAACTTCAACCTTGTCTCCCAGGAGCTAAGGGGAAGCAGTGCGATGCTGGCGGGGTGTGGGCTGGCCCTGGGATCCAGCCTGCTGGAAGGGGCCTTCGCTGACTGTACTTGGGGAGGAAGAGACCCAGAAAGCTGTGGGTCAGGCTCCAGGGACCAGGCAGCCCCTCCCTCCCAAGCAGCTGCCTGTGCTGCCCTTGGCCATTGACACTTGGCGTCTTCATAGACTCAGGAGGAGTGAAAAATGGAAGGAGTGCAGGGTGGCTTTTCTTAGACTTGGATGAACACACATAAATCCCCTGTGATCTCATTAAAAGGCAGATTCCTATTCAGTAGGTCTGGGGGTAGGGAGAAGCCTGCATTCCTGATCAGCTCCCCGGTGAGGCTAGTGTTGCCCAAGTGTCAGGGGTAAGTCCCTTCATTGCACAGAGAGCGGGGAGGACCACCGGCTGAGCCCCTGCTGACGCCCAGGACTGTGATTGCCCTCTCCACCTCGATTTCTGGCACCTTCTATGTGCCTCTTCCATCACTCACATCCTCCCAGATGCCCTCACTCATTGTCCCCAGTAGCCTGTGAGCTTCCAGAAGGCCTGGATTTTATCCTATTCACCTTTGGAAACCAGCACAGGGCCTGACACTTCTAAACACTCATGAGTGAGTGAGGAGGTGACTCTCAGAAAAACTGTCCAGATCCTCAAATGAATCTCAGCTGGGGGAACCTCAGACCCAAATCCCAGGGTCCCTGTGTCTATGGTTATCTTGTTTTAACCTCCCTTATTCCCCAAGGGAGAAGTCCCAGGAGGCTGAGAAGAAGGTTGGCATGGAAGGGTCCCCCAGGTGTGAAACAGAGGGACAGGACAGCAGTGTCCACTGCGGGAGGGCTGCTCAGGCCCAGAAAAGCCTTGGTCCTGGTGCCAGCGTGTGGCACAATCCTGGACAGGACCCTTAGACTTCCTGCTCTAGGGTCATTCATGCCTATGCCCTTTAGCTCCCCTTGGACAGTCACCGGGCCACTGAGGACAGAAAATTGGCAGCCGGTATCTTCTAGATCCCTGGGGTTCCATGCTGCAGAAAGAACATGAAATGTGGAGCTAAGGGGTGGGCCAAAACAGTCTGCCAGTGGGAACTGGGCAAGTGGCTTCATTGCTGAGACTGTTTCCCTCTCTGTGAAATGGGGATGATGACTCTTAGAAACTCATGGGGCTACTGTGAGAGGGGAGGGGCAGGGGCCTTTCTGGGAGGCACTCCACGATCTGGAACCGCAGCCATCTTGTCCTACTTGTGCCTGTTCTGCCCACCCCACCGACCCATGCCAGCATCCCTGACCAGGGGAAGGGCCCCCTTCACCACCTCCCTGCCCTTTGTCGAGGAGAACTCCACTAGATTGGGTGTCCAAGACAGAGAAAGTCCCAACCCCTCCCGCCCCTGTCTCCCCACATCAGTACAGTCTGGAGAACTTGCCAAGAGCAGATTCTTTATTAATTTCTCTTTTTTCTTAAAAAAAAAAAGTATTCCTTCAGTATAAAAAATAAATATTTTAAATATGACATTGAATAAATAAAAATAATCTGTCAGTATGAAACATTCCCACAGGGTACATTCATCAAAGAGGAATTTGTCCCTCAAGGCCAAGTCCTATCCAGTAGAAAGGAAGGAGAGAAACACAGAGGGACAAAATGGGGCTAGCAGTGTGGACGGGAGAGATGCCCAGGTACTGGGATCAAGGCGCAAGGGTGGCGGTGACCCGAAAAGTGGGGACATCTGTACCATCTGAAGGGAAATTCTCACTTGATTCTGGCCTCCAACCCCACAGGCTCCGTCTGTTCTAGAGAGCCAGCCAGGTGGGGCTGGGCTCCTTGTGAAGAGGGGGCAGGGGGCATCCCCAAGGAGGAGGCAAGGAGAGGGGGGAGGAGAGACAAAGAAACCGGTGGTGCTTTTTTCGCTTAAAATGTTTTTTAAATAAATGAAAGTTCCCAATATTCCTTTCTCCATCAATTGCCAAATGATTTGTCCTACCCCCTCCTCTGCTGACAGCCTGTCCCTCCTGCCTCCTCTTGACCCAGGATGCAGGTGTGGGTCAATACCAGCAGTTGAAAAATGAGGAAAAGGACAGCTTCCTGCCCTGCAAAGCTTTTTCCACACAAAGGCTCCATAATTTTGGGCTGCTGTGCAAAGTGGTCTGCTGGATTGGTTCGAGAAAGGGTGTTAGGGATGGGGACTGAGGAGCAGAGCAGGAGATGGGGGTGGGGGAGGGAGAGGGCAGAGGCCGTGGGAGCCAGGCAGAGAGGTGGTGTTGGGCCCAGGGGAAGAGATTCCCTTGGTCCTTGACCCTCATACCCTGCCCAGGTGGGCTCAGCATGGTAGTTGGTATACTTGAGGGGACGGGATGATGGAAGACCAGCTGGCCCCAAGCCTTCTGAGTCAGGTTCACCAAAGGAGCAAATTGCTGGGAGGAGGTAGGAAGCGAAGACACCGGATGAGGGTGAGTGTGACCCAGATTAGGACAGCCTCAGAAAACCTGTGGCTGTCATGGTCTCCTCTGCCACCTGCCACAAAACCACCTTGCCCCCCACCCTGCCCCCACCCCTGCTGGCTGCCCACCCGCCCCCCTACCCCCAGGGTAAAGTGCTCAGGGAAGACAGAGAGGTGCAAAGTGAGTGCAAAGTACCATAATAGCATTGGCTGAACTGCTAGGACCGCCACCGCTCAGGGTTTGAGAAGAAGCCAGAATGTTCCTCTTAGCAGCTGCCCCAGCTCGGCACCCCCTCCCTTGCTCCCAGACTGGAGGGCGTTTCTCCACTTGCCTGGCCCCAGCACAAAGGAAAGGATCGTGTTCCCTGCCTGGGAGCCCAGACATGGGTGGGGGCGTGGGGAGAGGTGGGGCAGGAGGGACCACAGCTTCCTGGTCGTGGGCCCAGGGCCTCCCTATCCTCCTCTCCACAGCAGGGAGCTCCTCCCTGCACTGCTCCAGCTTCCCAGAGGTCCAGCCAGGCCCTCTGGCCCTTTGTGGGTGTTTGGCCCACCCGAGCAGGAGCTTCCCCACTGTGTGCAAGCATGCTCAATGCTGGCTCAGGACGGTTCCAGAGCCCCTCGCTGGTCTAGGGACAGCATGGGAACAAGGAAACAGCAGCAGAGTGGGCCGCCAGGACTGCCTTAGCCAGGGTTCCCAGGCACCCTCTCAGCCGCGAATGTTACCCCTCACAGCACAATTCCAAGGAACTGCCAGAAAACACAGTGTTGAGTGAGCCCCCTGGAGCCAAGCAAGATGGTGGCCCCAGGAGAAGGCCCCCAGGCCATCACTCCACAAGCCCACCCAGACTGCCATGAACCCAGGATTTTGATATCCCCAAATCAGGCCACAGTTGGGATGGGGTATGGAGGCGGGTCCCCTGTCCCCCACCCAGGTGACCAGTTCTCTCCGATCCTGACTCTCTTCTGAGCTTCACCGGTAAGGCTTCTTCTACTTGTAACATCTTTGACTTCTGGACCAGTCCCTGTGAAGGCTGGGCCCTGGCTCTTCTATGAGACATCGTATTATTTCTGTTGAGTAGGAAGCAGGGAAAGGGAAACTAACTTTGCCATTTAAAGCACCAATAAGTTAATATAAATAGGGCATCATAATAAATAGACAATCGTGCTGGGTCAGACACACAGCACTCTTGGCTCTCAGGCTTACTAAGACCCTGACCTCAGGTTCTGCTGTCCCCTTGTTCTAGGAACCAGAGATGGCCTCTAGTCCCCATCAAGTACCTTTGTGTGACCTCACCGGACCTCCAGGTGTCCCGGATGTGAGCTGCCACCCTGAACTACCCAGTTCTTCCCATTCCTTCCCATTCCTTACAGACCCCGGCCCAGAAGGAAGACTCTGGGTGCCCTCAGAACCTCTTCACCTAACTTTGCCACCTACCCACCTCCCCAAACCCCACCTCCAGGTCCAACCACCAGATCCTAGCCATCCCAGGCTTCAGGAAAGACTGCAGGGAAGGAGAGCCTGCCAAGGCTCTCAGGACCTCTCTACCTTTCCAAGCCTAAAGGTAGCCTCTCAGCCTCCCAAGAGGCCTGAATCCCAGTGAGCTCATTCTGGAACTTTCTGTTTCACAGTCCAGTCTCTAGGCCTGAGCTCTCCGATCATGCTCAAGAAAAGGAGTATCTTAAACCAGAACTCCCCTTTCTCTCTTCCACTCACTATACTTGTAGGGACCCAAGGAGTCCTCTGGATCCCAGCTCCTCTGGCCTGCCTGAGCCCAGTCAAACCTTCCAAAGACTCCGGAAGGGGCAGCAAAGGCACCGATGGTGGTAATTCTGTGGGGCTGACCCCTGCCGTCGGGCCCCACAGTCAGAGTCACCATGGACAACTCATGCAGTTTTCTCACAAAGCCCCTAGCCAAGTGGGCCAAGTGGGGACAGAGGTCCAGCCCACAATCCCCTCACCAGCCCAACACCCTGGTGCCTGGCCGCAGTCTCCCACAGGAAGGGTCCTTCTCCTAATTGGCGCTGCTCGGCTTTATCACAGCCCACCCTAAGGGGAGTGGACCGGCCAGGAAACCTCGGGGGTCTGCCGGCAGCCCCCAATTTGGCCTGGCGATGCTCTGGGCCCTGGCCACAGTCTGAGAGCCGCCTGAGCCTAGGATCTCAGGGTGTTCCCTGCAGGCTTCAAGACCTCCCGTCTAGAAGGCCTGGGCCACCACGGCAATGACCTGCTTATACTTCCCCAGGAGCTGACAGCCCAGCTTCTTCTTCTGGAAGACGTCCTTGCCCGAGGTGTCAGGGCCATAGGCCACGTCCACGTGGGCCACGTGGTACTTGTTACACAGGCGGCAGAGCACATTGCTGAGGAGGCCCCGCAGGATGTCCGCCGTGGCGTTCAACTTGCTGTGGAGGCTGAGGGCGTTGGGATTGAGGACCTTCTGGTCCCGAGTGATGTTGCCCAGGGAGGCGCCAAGGTACGCGATGATACGGTAGAGCTCCACGAGCCGCGTTTTCTCCGTGCCGTTGGCGTGGAATGGCGGGAAGTCTGTCACATTGGGGCCACACAGCTTGTCCAGGTTGTTGGGGAACGGCTCCCCCTGGGCTGTGTACTGAGGAGCAGAGAGGGAGAGGGGAGGTGACGTTGGGGGTGGTCAGGGTTAAGGGTTCCAGCCCTACTGCCAAGCCTCTGGGCAAGCTCTTGGGTCTGTTTCCTGCCTCTGGCATAGAGACCCAGCTACTCGCCCTCTAGGCATCTCAGGAGCACCGTGAGAGCCCGGAGTAATCAATGGTGTGAATGCACATGGTGGAGCATCAAGGGACTCTCATCCCCCTCACTCAAGATCGTATGGGGACGGAAAGGAAAACACCCCGTCTCACCTCCTGTGGGTGTGCCACACACACTTGCCCTTTCACCCACTGTATGCGCCTTCTTCCTGGGCAGCTTTGCACCCCAGACACCCACAGCCCACTTTCTCTCCCAACAGCAGCATCTCCCCGGTCACCCCACTTCCTCTCTGTCCCTCACTGGCCTCCTGCTCCACGTGGTGGAGGAATGCCTAGACCAGCAGTGCCCAGCCTCCCGCTTCTCCCCTCAGCTCTGCCCAGACCCAACTGGGCACCTTGGAAAAGTGGCACTTGGAAAAGGGGCACTCCCCACACCCCGGAAGCTGTGGGGGGTGGGGGGTTGTTGTTGAACCAAGCCCTTTCCCCATTCTCTCCTGCCAGCTCCAAACTCGATCTCTTCCCAGGCCAGCCCCACCAGCCCAGGTCTGTGGAGCAACACCTCCCCCCTCTCTCGGGACCTGGAAGGGGGGACTTACATAGAGAATAAAGAGAGCATTGGCACTGCCATTGAGCTGTGCCAGTTGGTTCCTGATCTGGTTCATGAGGTTGCTGTGACATGGGTGGCGGGTGGCGCAGGTGGCGTTGACTGGGGTGATGGGAAGGGGGCTCCCTGCTCCGTGTTTCCAGTGCAGAACCAGCAGCAGGGGCACAACTCCTAGGAACACGCAGGAAGGAGCCATGAGCAGGGTGGCTGGGGTGAGCGAGGGGGCTCGGAGCAGAAGATACACCTCTTCTCCCCAGAGACACCGATGCCCCCATCCCACCTCCAGCTCTGTCTTCCCCGGGCTGCTTCTAGTTTTCACCGTCTCACTGCATCTGTTTCTGTCTGCTTCCCTCTCTCCAGATCTCTATCTCTGCTTCTCTCCACTCACTTGTTTTTTCCTTCTCTCTCTCCTGAGAGGAGGAAGGGGGTAGGACATGAGCTGTTCCCACCTGCTGGGAGCTGGGTCCAGGGTGACAGGAACCATCCAGCCCTTTCCCTCAGGAAGGCAAAAAGCCCCTGAGGCTTCCTGCCCCTTCTGGCTGGAAGACACCATGCCCCAGGCCCAGTGGGTCTCAAGGGACTGAATGGTCCCTCTCTTCCCACCTCACAAGATGGTCCAGATTCTTGTGCATTGCTTCATGCCCACTGGTCCTTTGCAGGCATTAGCTCCCAGATCAGGCTCCCATGGGAACCCGGGGTTCGGAGGTGCGGATCTTCTGCGGACACTCTTCTCCCTCCCAAACCTGTCACTTGATTCCGCTGGGCATTTGTCTCAAAAAATTCTGCCACCCTCCCCCATCTCTTCCATCGCTCTTCTCCCAGTGGGGCCATTCTCATATTTAGGACCCTCAGCTCCACCCCAATTCTGCAATTCTGCCCCCTCTCTAACCCCAAATCATCACTCAGAACTTCCTGTCCCCCAGACCTACATGCCACCCCCCTCTTATCTACCACTTGCCCCAGGCGCCAGGTTAGGACAAGGAGAATCCTGGGGTCATGCAGGCTCTCAGAGCCTTGGGGAGGGAGAGGAAATGGTGCAACCAGAAAAGAGAAAAGGGAAAAGGTCGCAAGCAGCCAGGTGGGCGGGGGAGGAAGGAAAGTGAAAGGTGACAGGAGAGCTGGGAGCTGTCCGGGCCTGTTCTGGGTCCCCCCTCCCCCCAGGGAGCCTGCTTCCCTGCTTTACTCTCTCTGGTTCCCTCCCAGGGGCCTCTCCCCGTGGCCCAGCAGCAGGAGCTAGGGGCAGCAGACCAGTGAGGCTGGAGAACCGGTGAGGCTGGGGGGAAGGGGGGCGCTGGAGCACTGGGATCTCCCCCGCTGGGGCAGTGGCAGCCTCAAGTTCACCTCTTCTGGGTCCCCTGTTCCTCCCAGCATCCCCAGGCAGCACTGAGACCCCGGGATGGTTGGGGGGCCCCCACAGCCCCGGCTCACCTAGCAAAGACCACAGCTTTCCAGGCACTAGCAGATGGAGGCGGCACCTGCTTCCGGCCCGGCCGGAGTTTGCAAGCTGCTTGGAGGCCGGTGCCCCTCCCTGGGAGCAGCCCGGGACGCGGTTGGAAAAGAGAAAGCGGAAAGACAAAGAAAAAGAAAGAAAGAAAGAAAAAAGAAAGAAAGAAAGAAAAAGAAAGAAAGAAAGAAAGAAAGAAAGAAAGAAAGAAAGAAAGAAAGAAAGAGGGAGGGTGAATCGGGAGAAAGCAGAGCGGGAAGAGCAAACGGGAGAGTGGCAGGGGCGAGGAGGAGGAGTAGTAGGAGGAGGAGCGGGAGGAAGACTGCGGCGGCCCCCTCCCTTGCCCGCCAACCTGCCGGCCCCCGGACGGGATGGGCGCGCGGTGCCGGGACCATGTGCCTGCGCTCACTCCCGGCCGCCACCCAGCGCCTCCAGCGGCCCGGGCCGGCTGCACCGGTGCCCCAAGTGTCCGTGTGTCTTCGGCGAGTGGGTGTCCCGCTCGCGATCGCCAAGTGCCCCAAGTCGCCGCAGCACCCTCCGTGGGGCGCGGAAGCCGGCGCGGGGCGGGTGGATTTACCTGCCGCCAAGACCTTCATTATGGGCTGGACTCCAGAGGGCCTTGGAGGAGACCTTAGATGCCGGCAGTTTTCAGAGGTTCATGCTCAACGGGGAATTTGCCTGATTTATATACTGGAGCCTGTGTTGTAAGACAGAGAGAGAAACAGCTATATTTAGCAGGGATCCCCGTCCAGGAAGTTGTTTGAGGTGCATCATAGGAAATTATGAATGGAAGAAAGTGAGAGTGGGGGGGGCAGTGAAGGGGGAGGGTGGAGAGAGCAGACTTTTTTCCTCTTCTAAGAATTTGATTGATAAAATTATAATGAATTCTTCAACAAAACACCCTGTGGTTTTCCTGGGTGGCTTGCCCTAGGAGTTCTTTGAAGTTGGGGAGTGCCAGGAGGGTCCCGAGGCTCCAGTCATCAGGGTCCCCGGGGCTGCAGGTGCTCCAGACAGCCTTGACTCACCTGGGTTTGGGGAGGTGGCTTGACACTAGGCAAGCAGATGGAGGCTGGCCCCTGTGGCCCCGTGATCAAGGGGTTTGGGGGGCAGGGGGGAGGAGGCAGTCTGGGGCTTGGCTGGGAAGGAGGCTCCAGGAAGAGGGGCTGGGGCCCTGCTTGGACTTTAGACTGTAATAAAGCAGAACTGGAGTTCTGTGGGCACCTCCGACGTAGCCTCCTCCAACCTGCCCATTGCTACTGGGGCCAAGTGGGGCTTTGAAGGGCACAGGTTGCCCAGAGTCCCACGGGGTCAGACCTCCTGACCACCACCAGCAAGCCTCCATTGCTGACCACAGATACCTGTGAAGCTGGGGAGGGGGCTGGGAAGATAGGGGAGCAGGGAGGTTGAGGTGACTCAGTTCTTGGGGGACAGCCTAAGGAAGAGCTTCTGGGAAGGTATTGTGTGTCGGGGGTTTACCTAAACTCTTTGTGGTCCAATCTCCCCCTTCAGGGAGCATTTCCATTCTGGAGGGACACCTGGAGCAGAGACCCAGGGAGGCTTAGCGGATCAGACCCAGGTTTCTTCCTCAGGATGCTGAGGGCCTGGCTGAGGAGAAGAGAAATAGCTTGCCCCGCCCCCAGGCTTGGAAGCCCCCTTGGGCTCAGAGAATAATGGTGACCCCCCAAAAAGGTGTTTCTAGAGTCTGTAAGGCAGGGTCACAAATAAATTCTGGTGTCTATCATGGCCAATTAGATTCATAAACATGTGAGGACAGGCAGGAAGGAATGGTGGGGACTAGGGCAAAATGAGCACAGGACTCCTCCCCACAGAAGGCATTTCTAAAAAATGATGTGAAGAAGTGCTGGCCAGAGAACATGTATCTGGCACCGTACTGTCTCCCCAATTTGCCAGGGGCACCCTCTGTCCCAGGAGATGGTCCATTCCCCTGGGGAGCTCACCCCAGCCCTCCAGCCTGACTCTAACCAGGAAACAAGGCAGAAAAGTTGGTTTCCCAAGGCAGGGAGACCCACCACCTTTCTCGGGCCCCTGCTCAACCCCTCACCCATCCTCCATCCATGCTCCCAGCTCCCGCCTCTTGCCACATCCCGGACCTGCCCAGCCACGCGTTCCTCCCTCATCGTGCCAGGACGAGCCCTCATGCCTGCTGCGGTCCCCCTTCCCCCACACACACTCTGCCCTATCCAGGCTCACTTCCCCCATGCTCTCCTAGCAGGACATGGGATGTGGGGTGATAAACCTGCCCATCCCAGCTGGCATTTCCCGGCAGGGAGGGGGCTGGTAGAGTCCAGACTGGCTCTCCTTCCTCTCCCCTCCCCCTCCTTGTCTCTTCCTTGGAAGGCCCTAGAAGACCCCTCCTGGCACTTGCCCCTCCCATACACCTACTATGGGGTCCACATACAGCCCCAGGAGGCCCACCTACCCCGGCCAGGCTCAGGCAACCCCATGGCACAAGACATCCCAGCTTATTTCCCACCCCTGACAAAAAAATCCCCCCCCACTCCTCTCCTCTCCCGTGTGAGGGCCTGACACAAACACGGAGCACGTGAACACAAATGCTAGGCCAGCCTCCAGTCCTACCGCCAATCTCCCAGTCCCCTATCACCTGACTCAGCCTGGTGCTTCTGCTGTGGACCCCAAGTCCAGGGCCCCACTGTGGCCCCCTCTATGGGTCCCCTTGTTCCCCCACCTGAGACACTCTCTAGGCGCCCTGATTCTCCTGGAGGCTGCCAGCCCTTCCCACCACTCTCCTACCCCCGTCTCTGCCCTCCAGCCTTCAGAGTAGACTTCCAAGTCCTTGTACTGCATCCCGGCTCCCTGGATCCCATGCCAGCCCTACAGTCCACCCCCAGTCGCCATGTAATCTCAGCCCCACCCCACAGGAAACAGGAAGTGGGGGCAGAGTCTAGAAGTCAATTAACTCCCTCCCCGACTGGCCCCCCCATGCCTCAGTTTCCCCTCTCATGGTACCTGACTTGGTCCGTGCTCCCCAAGAGCTGTGGGCCCCTCGGCACCCTAGGCCCGGCCTCCCTTTCCTGCCCATGTCCAGGCACCACCTGCTCTGGGCCTCTGAGGGGAAGCTCGGGCAGGGTCTTGGAGCCGCCAGGCCGAGAGCTGCCTGCAACGTGGCCTTGGTCCCCAGGAATCGGCCGCCCAGACCGCACTCCAGGCCGGCTCTGGTCTCCCGGAGTTTGTTTTCTTCCCTCCCTCTCTATGAGCTCGTGTGTGTGTGTGTGTGTGTGTGTGTGTGTGTGTGTGTGTGTGTGTGTGTCTCTGTGTGTGTGTGCACGCGTGCGCTCGTGTGTGTGTGTGTGTGTGTGTGTGTGTGTGTTTTCCCCTCGGCTTCCTCACGGAAGGCATCCTCCCTTCTTGGCTGCATGCTCCCGGGGTCGTGACCCCAGGCCCCACCCTGGAGTGGCAGCCCCAGCTCGGCCCCTTCCAGCTGTGACTTCATCTCCAGCCTGTCCCGCTCCTGCACACAGGGCCTGCTGGGGATTTGACCGGCCTCAGGGTGAGGGGGACCATCAGGGTCCACATGGGGCCCTTTTCCGCCGACCAAGGCCCTGCCAGGTCAGGGCCCCGGGGTGCTGTCTCCAGGTGGCTGTGCCCTACTTTGCTCATCTCCCCTCTCCAGGAAGTAAGCCCACGTGTCGGCCTTCCCAGGGCCCCGAGGGGCTCTTTTTGTCCTACGCACTCTGCCATAGGCGCCCACCCCCTCCTCCTTTTCTGCAGCTTCTTGCCCACCATGCATTCGACCTTCCTAGAAGATCACAGGTGTTTTATTTTTCAGATGGGGAAACTGAGGCTTGGAGCAGTGAAGCCCACTTGCCCAGGGCTGTGCAGAGGCACTAGAGCGGGGTCTGGAACCCACGCCTCTGGCTTGCAGGCCGAGTTGAGACTGAAAGCACCTCCAGCTCCGAGAGGAGCAAAGGCTCATGAAGAGCACATAGGCTGCTTCTTCCAGGATGTCTCCCCTGCCCACAGCCCAGACCAGCTTGAGTCTGCCTGGTCCTTCCTGTCTCCTCTCAAGCGGAGACAAGTCTTCTTCCTCACTCCTGGAGGGCTTGGATGGGGTCTGAGCCTCATTTGTACTCTTGACAGCACCTGGCTCAGGGTTACACCAGAGACGATGCTAAGTACTTTTTAAAAGCATTTCACAATTTCCAAAAGCCGTCTGGGCCAAATGTCTCGTGGAAAGACCCTGTGGAGCTCTCTGGTCTGTATCGTGGACTTTGGCCTCAGTCAGCACGTTGGAGATTTGGTTTTGCCAGCTCTGAGCGGGGGACTTTGGGGGACGTGAGCAGCTCCTGGCCTCAGTTTCTCCATCTATGAAATGGGAACAATGGCACCTATGCTGTGGGTTGGCCGTGAGGTGTGGGGCTCTGTGCAGTTCTGGGCACTCCACAAGCTCTTGACAAGTCAGCATTTATTCTTACCAGGTGAAGAACCTCACCTTACTGGGAAGGAGGGGCTTTTGTCCCCATTTTAGAAATGAGGACACTGGGCACACTCTGGGGCTGAGGAGGGAAATCTGACAGGAACTGTTTCCCCTCTCCTGATGGATAATGAGGAAGGACACCCTTAGAAGCTCCAGCTTCTTCAGGGGCACCCCAGACAGATAAAACATGTCCTGTGGGGGGATGGCATGGCACCACTCGCTCTCCTCATGTCCCATCCTGGCCCCTGACTCCTCCTCCCCTCCTCACCCCAGGCCTAAGCTGAGGACAGCATCTGACCCCGGGCTCACCGCCCCCAGGAACTGATTCACCCCCAGGCCCCATCTGAGAAGGAAGGAGACATAGCTCAGCTCAAAGGGGCTTGAATCACCAGCCGCCCCCTGCGGAGCCCCAGGGAGGGATGCGGGGGCGGGGGCCAGCCCCCTGCCTGCCTGTCTGTCTCTTTCCTGGGCCTCGGGGGCACTCAGGGGAGAGGGCAGCCCAGCAGCAGTGGCCATCGGCTGGGGGGCGGCTGGGAGGTACCCTCACAGTCAAGCATCCTGTGTGGGCAGCCAGTAGTACTTACTCACCAGGTAAGCAGCTCTCTGGGCATCGGGGAATTCCCCAAGACCAGTGACCCAGAAACGGAGTGCTCTGGGCAAGCCCCACTGCCCAGGCCAGCCCCCACTCCTTCCTTCAGCATCCCCTCCCCTGTGCCCAGGGGAGATCTCAGTTCTCTGAAAACTCAACGGGCATCTGCTCTTAGCCTCCGGCAACCCAGCCCCTGCCTGGCCTCGATTTTCCCACCTGGGAAATGAGCACAGTGGAGTCAGATGGGCCTGGGGAGGGAGTTGGAGGTCAGAGGCTGTGGTCCAGGACTAGGGCCGGTGAGGGGTGGCCAGAGTTGGCAGGAACAGCTCAGGAATTCTGGCACAGCCCCAGCAGTTGGGAGTCCTGTCCAAAAAGGCAAAAACACCTCATTATTCGACACTTGAGCAATGAAAGTGTCACTACGCCTGTGGTCCCAGCCTGCACCCTGCAGCACCACGAAACCATCGTGGACTTTCCTGTGGCCCCTGGAGCCGCTTTGCAAGTCAGCCGTGGGCCAGCCAGGGCTAGGCTGGGGGTAGAGCCTGTGGGTAAAGGTGCGGCTCAGAACCAGGAGAACATGGATTCGAATCCTGCCCATACCACTTACCAGCTGTGTGACCTGGGGCCACCGGGCCCCTCTCTCAGAGCCTTGATTTCCCCTCTGGAAGTGGGGAGTGCTGTGTGTGGTGCCGTCATGAGGGATGCTCAGTGGGAAACACAG